TCTTGTCAATTTTCCACAGAAATTATCATAGTCTATCAGCAAAACTGGCAAAAACACTGTTGGACTCTTCAAACTCAAAGAAAACTTCATTTCAGGTGTTGTTTTGAGCTGTCCGGCCAGCCCCAATCCTTTGGGACTGATCTCAAGCCGGGATCGTGGGGCACAAAAAAAGGGTGTTGGGGCTGTCGGCACGGGTCGGCCGGGGTTGGCAAACTGTGTTTTTGGTGAATTTAATGGTATTTTACAGGAAAAATGCCTCTCGGGCAAACGCTCCGTTTCAAATAGAAGCAATTATTAATGAATCGTCCTGTTTTAGCAATTGCTTCTATTTGAAACGGACTTGGCTACCTGTGGGCTTGACCCTGCTTCTATTTGAAAAAAATCCGGAATATCTTCTATAATTGCGGTCCTAAATATATATATATGGTTTTATCTATACTCCAACCATTGGTTTATGGGAAAATTTACAGGAAACCATGGTTTTCACCATCAAAGATGGGCCTTGCCTGTAAATTTTCCCATAAACCAATCCATTGATGATATACTGAATAGGAATGATCTTTTTCCAGCCATATATTTCCCTCCGATGTGCAGGTTCTGGGAGCGCCACTTGAACCGACTCTGCCGCATGCACGAACTCAGGGAGAAGGCGAAGAGATGCGCGACCGAATCCCCCAATGTTGACCCATACCCGGAAGCAAATCATGGTATGTAGTAGTGGGGATGGTTTATTTTTTGGATATTTTGGATTACTACATTATATATATATATAATATATATATATACATATGACATCATATGACGATGTATGATGTACTGTAAATAGAATGCGTTGTAGCATAGATTTTCTCTGAAGGCTCGAAGTAGCTATATAGTAGACGCTGCCGTCTTCACACGTCATCGATCGATGTCCAGACCAGGAGCGCATCTCGGTTGCCGCGGCTTCAAAGCTGTTAGCGAATATCTTCTGGCAGTTGGGGGACCTACTTGTCAGCATCCACCAAATGGCTATGGGTCAAAATAGGGGTACCTCCCAACCAATGGTTGATGATGATAATCCCTATTAAAATGGTGTTCATTGGGGGTACCCTATTTTGACCCATAGCCAAATTGAGACCCGGAAAATGGATGACAATGGACGACAGTGAACGAATGTTTTGGTGAAAGCTAATCTTCCAACCCTCAAACTATTTGGATCTATTTTTTGTAAGTTGTATGTAAGTTCGGGGAATGGCAATGGCCTGTTGGAATGGGAGGCAAAGTGGGAAAGTCTTGCAGAAAAACATGGGATTGGTTGGGATAGATCCAAGCTCGTGTCTCAGACGTTCAGAGGTCATCCATCACCGGAAAACACAACAGCACTTCTTTTGCTGCCGTGGGTGTGTGTTACAAAGCATATTTTACCAACTTAGCAAGTACACACTTGTAATGTGGTGTGCAGGTCGCCCAAACTACTTTAAGTTGTCCATCTCAATATCCATTTGACCATCTAAATCAGCCATGAATATCTAACAGTATTCCCAATTGGGTGGTTCGCCCAATATCAGGATCTCGTTTCCAACCCTCCCAACATCACAACCATCCGGCAATGGGCAATGCCACTCCCAGGTACAGGGGCCAGGGTTTGTCCTGCGGCACCATGGTGGCGGGCTGGGACAAGAAGGTGGCTTGGTGGATCTGTTCAAAAGATGTTTTTCTCTACGGTTTTATACCATTTCGTGGGGATACAATCGGGATAAACTGGGATACGTAAGAGCTTCAAGGCTCCTATTTGGTGCCACAACCAGCTACATGCAAACTGTCTGAATGTTCACTTTTCCAAGCCCAGCCGTTTTCTAGGCACATTGCTTTTCACGGCTGAAGTATCAAAAGGGTCGAGGGCATTCATGGCGACCAGGGCCCCTCGCTGTACATGGTAGATGACAACGGCGATCGCCACAAGGGCAACGTTTTCTCAGTGCGACTGCCCAGATTTTGCCACCAGGAGCCACTAGGCATTTCCAGATTTGCCATATGAACGTATGATGATTGTAATGCTTGTGATAATTTGGGGATATTTGGGGAACCTTGTGACAATACATGACTACTATCTAAAAACGGATCGTTTTTCAACGTTAGTTTCCACCTTTGTGTTCTATATGATACTAGATGTACTTGCTTCAAGAGGAGATCCCACCAGGATCCACCGTGCCACTTGCCTTCACCAGGTGGGTTCGGGATCAACCTTCGCTTACGGCGTGCTGGACACCGGTTACAGCTATGACCTGACGGTAGAAGAGGCGCAGCGCTCCAATAGGCAACGGTCACTGTGGGATGACTTGGCTGTTCCCACCGGTTACAGCATGGTTTGCCAGGTGAATTTCATTGAATTTCTTCAAACTGCCAAAATTGTCTTGTACTCAAAAAATCTAAGAAATACCGAGCTCCATTGAATTACATATATATAGATTTGATATGATTTGATAAGTATCTTGGTTTGGGAGGAACTCCTGTCAATTGTCCCTCGTTTTTCTTTTGGACCACCAGTCCCCAGTGGCCCCAATGGCCCCAGTGGCCCCAGTGGCCATCGTCCAAGTCGAGGCAGTAGAACTTGGCCGGCGCTCCATCTATCACGCCACGCACCGAGACGGCGCCTCTGGTGGCGTGGTGCGCGTCTACCACGCCGGGGAACCTGGTTGGAGCCCAGTGGTTGGGATGGGGGGAAGCCCCAAAAAACATGTCCGCAGCCCGAAAAAAGTGAGTCATTGATATTTTGTTCATGGATTTTTCTTGATGAAATTCAATAGCTATAGACAATCAACTAGAGATCAGATTTTCCACTTATTGTGGAAATGGTTTTGGCTTGTTCTCCATCTCTTTGGGGGATAGCTATAGCTGGGCCCATTGAAATATCAGAACATCCACTGAGATAGGATGGTAGAGAGCTAGCTTGGCCCTTGGCGGGCAGAAATGGTGAGGGAGAATGGGGGCCACCCTGCATGCAAGAAGAGATCTATATTTTATTTTTGGAGGATGAGAATTTGTAGAGATTGAGCTGCGGAGATCAAAAAAGCAAGGACTCATGCTGGATTCATATGTCATATGGATTATATAATAATGATATTTTCCCACGACAGATTTCCCATGATATTATCTTTTTATTCATATGATATACAATTATTATATGGAGGTTTCCTGAAATAGGGGTACCCCTAAATCATCCATTTTTAGATGATTTTTCCATTATAAACCATCCATTTTTGGGTATCCATATTTATGGAAACCCCCATAAAATGATTATATAAATGGATAAATTATCATACTATTATGGATATCATATATATATATACTATTATATATCTGATTATATATATGATTATATAACAATACTAAACCATCCTCCAAATCACCATGTTTATAGGTGGTATAAACCATCAATTTAATGGGTGGTTTATGGCATTGTTATACCCACATTATAGTGATATATGGATTCATTTCGAGATTTTCCCCATGACAGGTCCACGAGAAGGGCTGGACCAAGGTGGGGCTCCCGAACTCGAACTCGAACTGCGGAGTGGTTGGAGGGCTTCATTTAGCACGGAGGAAATGATATCTATCTACAGTACACACACACACGTATATATATATATATATAGTATAATATATATATATATAATTGTATATAATATAGTATATATATATAATGTACTATATATATAATATAGTATATATAATATAGCATAATATATTACACGTATACATACGTACTGACTGTATCTGGTAATATATCAGCACCCAACAACAGGCTTCATAAGAACACCCAACAGTCACTTGCTGTAGCAAGCACGCTAACTTCATACTTGTTTTGAACTCATGCGCTTGCTTTTTGATCGGTCAGCTTCATGCCAGATGATTGCCGGTGAAGATGTGAACAAGTTGCACTACATGTGCTCCTGGATGATTATCGAGGGGCCGACTTGATCAGAAGGATTCTGCGTGCTGAGGATGTGTTTCATAAAGAGATTCTCCCAACAGGATTGAGGTTAGAATAACATATATAACATACAATAAGCCCGTATTTCATTTGATGATGTTCAACATGTTTTTCAAGATGCTTCGGGATCAACAGCTCGTCAAGTTCAGGGAAAGCCCTCCTGTCTCGGACGGCAAATTGGCGCCGGTGATGCCAGGTACGCGGCAGAGAAAAACCTCCGAGGAGATGAGTGAACGCAGCGAACGCGCTGGGGCCATGTGTGGGCCAAGTGGGCCATGTGCGGCTCGCGTCCGAGCCTATATGATTCATGTCGCGTATCAGATTATGACAATATTTGCGACATCATGCGACATCTATCTACATATCATAGTACAGAATACATATGACAATACAGAATACATTTGGCATATGATGATGTTGATCTTCATCAGAATGAGTAATAGCTACATCGACCAATGTTGATCTGAATGCGTTGAAGGAATGGGTGCAGTGGTTGATTTAATCGTATTTGATTCCATCATTTACCATCATTTACCCGGATATGACAAAACACCGCAGCTCGGTGGCCAGATCTTAGCAGTGCCGATATGAAGCAGTTTCAAGGCCGATATGAGACATCTCCAATCTGAAAAGCTATTGCGGAGCCACACGCAACGCCGAGAAGAGAATAGGACTGAACAGAAAGGGCCTGCGTGGAAAAGATCCGAGCGCGATTGCATATTTGTTCAGTGTTCGGAAGTTCAACCAACCTCCGCAGAACGGCACAAGACGGACCTTGACTAGCTGAAAAGAAACTATCCTGTTCGTTCCCAGAAGAGTTTGTTTCTTTGGGTATAATTAGTCTCCCTCTCGTTCAGAAGTCGTACGTCCACAGCGAAAAAAACAGGGGGAAAACTCACAGCCAGAGTCCCCACAGAGCGTAGAAGATGCGGCGAAAGGTGATCTCTGACATATTTGCCCCCTCCGCACCTGAAAGGGAATACGAAGCCCTGCAAGGACTACGTAATACGACGCAAGGGTATTGAATATGATTGAATCATGCGAGTTGAGAAAGATGCGAGTTGACTGGCCCTCTTGAGTCTTGAGGTGAAACGGCAACAATTCTTTACGACACTGCGCAAGAGTTGACCTGCCGAGTCGGTCCCATGCAATCGATCATTACTTGCTTGAGCCGTCGCCAAACAAGAAGCAAGAAATATATGGGCGTTTCAATGCGTTTCACCAGGTATCCACCTGACGGACCCGAAAATTGGCGTTCCACCAGACAAACCTTTGCGTTGCAAACCTGTACGAACGAATACTGACTGGCAGCGAATGAAGTCGTTACCTACCGAGAGATATTGACATGCATACATTGATCGTGAAACCACACACTGCAGATACCTTGTCGGTGGCTTGCTAGCATGTCATCGGTATGGTGGGTAGTGACAGGCTCAGGACTATCAAGGTCATATTCATCAACAGGAACGAAAAGGAAGGAAAGGGACGGAAAGGAAAAAGAAGGAACAGAAAGGAAGAGGCAAGTTATCATGATGTTAGCCCGACCTCGAATGGACCTCATCTGGACCTTGCCCAATTCCAGTGATGCTAAGGCAATGCGTTGATTGCTTGCACGTTCGCCTTCTTATTGCTTGCTTTTTCTTTTTATCTTTCTGGCTTGCTTTGCTTTTGCTGCCAGTGCTGCTTCCGGCTTGCGGTAATTTTTGGGCCACCTATATACATTGGGAAATGATTTGTGATCACCTTGCTGTGAAAGGGTTTTGGCGTCTGCTCCGCATGCCAAATAGGATTCCAACATCATATTATGACCAGGTTTTCAGCCAGTCCCGGGTTTTGCGGAGTCCGCATTGCATGACTCATATAGCACTCACATACAGTGCTGCGATTTCCGTTTCAAAGTTTCTGTGTGAATATGCCGATGTAGGCACTCTGGAATAAATCCATGAAAACATAAATCACACACGCGCATGCTTGCACAATTACTAAGCAAGGGGCTGGCTGGTTTTCTCTCACAAAAGAGCTGTTGGTGTTTGTGCGTATTTTTTTTGTTGTGTTTGTTTTTTTTGGTGGGAACAGAACAGGCAGAGTGTAGCAGATGCGTTCGTGAAACATAAATGGTTGAGATGATTGATCCCTGGGAAGTGCCAGTATAGGTCGGTAAGTGAAGAAAATCATCAAAGAGAGCATCGATTACAAGGGCACCTCTGTGTAAGGGAGCGTGAACCGCATCATCAGCCCTCATCAGGACTTCCTGTCCATATCCACTTCACATCATCACTACTTTGTATAATCAAAACATATCAAAACCCTATGTCGGTGAGTCACCTTCACATCACCAAATCATTCTGAAGGGTGTCACCAAGTGACACAAGAAGCGCAGTGGAAGAGTTGCATCAAACTGTGCGTCCGTGGGGATGAACATTTCACCAAAGTATATACCGTGCGTACTGCGTCAAAGTATGTCAAAGTTACTTTTGTTGAAACCTGCACAAGGACAAGGAGGAACTGTTGCACCAATTGGTGCCGCTATTTGGCACTCATTACTGTACATGTAAAGAATTTTGCCTTATCAAGCGTTGCATTTCAAGCCAACAGGTTTACCAGACTCAATTCGCACCAAAAATTGCGTAGCATCCTTCAAACGGAATAGAGGCAAACCATGCTAAACACACAATCTTCACATGAACCATTAAAAAAACAAACACATAAGACCCGTGGATACCCTTGGAATTTTGTTTAGAGAACCTGACAACCCGAGTTGTAAACACAGTATCATTTTTTAGATACCGATGTTTCGCTCTCAATTCTTTGGAGGACTTTGCTTTGGAAGCGTATTCAGCCACGTGCAACCACCAAGAATAGATTAGAATCCTGACGAACCTCCAAAATCATCAAACCTTGTGAGGTGCTTTACAGGTGTGTGCATGTGTATGCATCACTGCAAGCCAGGGTGTTTTGTTCTTCGCCAAGGGCTAAGGGAGGCTTTACAACTTGTGCCCCTGGGTTTCCTTGCGGCTTCATAGATATTGGGCGCACAAGGTGTTTGATTCTTTTCGTACTTTTCCGCATATCTCTCCACACATCTCGACACTATGTTTTGATTTTCCAAGGAATCTTTTGTACCCAACGTCCTGAAAAGAATCCACGAGTCCAAGTTTGAGTCTGACTGGTATTTTTGCAACAGTGACCAATGTATTTATCAGACACTGGTTTTTCCCAGCTTGCTGCTGTTTTTGGAACAGTTGTCCGATGTTGTCCGGTACGCTGTGCAACGATTCCCGACCGTTCCTCGGTGTTTTTTGCAACATTCAGCTAATGTTTTTTTGCAGCGGAGGCCTCGTAGCAGTGGTGGTAGTAGATAGAAACTCGTAGTTTTGTGCGCATCACAAAAACCATCCAGCAAATGTACAATATTGTAGAGCTTCGCACACCGGCGATGCTGTTGGGGACGGGTGTGACTGGCAGGAAGGCTGTTGTTGTTGTTGTTGCTGTTGTTGCTGTTGCTGTTGCTGTTGTTGTTGCTGGTGGCAACAGAGCGT